AAAGCTCGTTTTTTACCTGTCCGTGTGGATTAGCGTGCCTTGTAGCCCACGTGTAATGAGGCTGATATGCACCCATGGCAATTTCAGTGTCCCTCGTCCCTTCGAGAGAGCGTTGATTAATGTTAGCCGAACCTAATATAACAAACTCATCGTCAACTATCATTCCCTTTGAGTGTACGTAGATCATGAAGCGCCTGTTTTTTCGAGTGAGTGCCTGAAAGGAACAACAACATCACGACTTTCAGAAGTCAATTTCACACAGCAAGCCAAAAGACAAAATCGTATGGATAAAGAGAGTGTACTTGGGGAGTGTTTCCAGCCGGGCCTTTCAATTCGGGCTTGCTCACGCCACCTTCAGTTTCACGATTCCCGAGACAAAAGAAATTTAAGTAATCACTCGGTTCATACTCGTTTTCGAGCCCCATTTCCTGCAAAGCCTTGTAGATCGTCCCGTACATCATTTGCATTGTGTTGTACTGCACAAAGAAAAAAAAAAAATTAACGCCTTTTTTCCTTTCGGGCACCCACCAAAAAATATAAAAAATGATCCGCAAAACGAACTAGTAAATGGTCACAAAAAAATACTCGAGAGACCCTTGTGCATATTCCATATTGTTTCGACAAAGAACAGCAACACTCTTTTTTATTAGAGGAAGTTAAGAATAATAACACGATGTGCTCAATTTTACCTGCCAGAAGAGTATTCTCTGAGTAGGAGTACTGGTCGGGGCTCCCTCTGGCCACATAGGAATAACAATGTACGCAGAGAACCTTTCCCTTGCTCTAATTTTAGACGCAATTTTGAGTGCAATTTCCATTGGTATTAAATTGTTCGCACCTAGAAAATGGAAAGTAGATCACTACCATCATAAATTTGTTTTCTTTCTAAACTACCGCATCAAGAGTATATATAAAGTTCTTACCCAAATCCCGATAATTAGACCAGTTGAATGACGACCCGAGGAAGTACTGGTTTTCAATGTAAATGAAATGCTGTGCTGCCCGAATGGCCTTTACTTATGCAGTATGTATACTCATGTCTATTAGAACATTCTTTCCGCATACAAGATTCTGTTTGATTGCAATAAAAAGTTATTTTCAAGTCATTTGTTTCCATAAAAATTTGAGACCTCTAGAAAAAGAAAGTAAGACATATTTTACCCTGGTTGGAGCCTCTCTTGAATCCTTCGGGAAGCCTTTGACAGAATTTGAGTCAATCGAACGGAAAACCTTTACAATGCAGACAGTTTAGGTCCAAAACAATAAGAAAGGATTTTTTTTTTTTTTTTCATCTTTTTTAACACGTCTCTTTCGTACCTGAACATGCCAACCCTCTGGATCGCCTTCTCCATGAGAAGCAACCTCAGATAATCCCATTACTTCAGGGATTCTTTCGAGCCTGAGTAAGGAATCATCGTACGAAGCTTTCATTTTCTGAAGCCCGTGTCGTTTTGAGGCCTTTAACCAACGCTCTTCGAAGTTGGTCAGGACATCATATGCAGCTGGACCATCTATTTTACAGTGCAAATCATGCCATGGCTCTCTTGGACAACCATCGGTGGGCGTGGGCCCCTGTTCAGTTATAAAACGAATTATGAACTTAATATTCGAGTGTAAAATGGTTGTTCTTTGGTGTGATCATGATTAACATGAACAGCAGAGAGAAAAAAAAAAAAAAAGAATTACCGTGAAATTAGGATTATGGAAATCATCCTTGTGAACGGTTTCTAAGGTGCTGAAAATCGAGTGTTTTGGGGTATCATATCTTCCCACACACAGGTCAAGTCCCCCGACAAACGCAACAATCTTTCTCCTAAAATTGCCGGCATCTGCATCTACTATCACGCTTTTCTGATGATGAGTATAGATTGTTCCAGTTTCCTTGTGAATCCAAGAGAAAAATGGATTGATAGACAAACAAATCACACTCACAAACAAAAAGAAAAACGAAATAAAATACGAAGTATCGAAAATATCTGAACTTTTGTCTCGAGTTATATAAAATCTAACCTGCTTCTTGACCCAGCTGCCTTTTCCAGCAGAGCGTGGACACAATAACACTTGGACAGATGAATGTTTGAAAAATCGGCGTGTTTCCTCATCACCTGTATTCATTACGCCTTCCTGAATTGTAACATAATGCGGCACTATGTCCATGTAAGAACCTTAATATTTCATAGCTTAACAAGAAAAGTAGGATTTGAAACATAAGGGAAATCTACAGCTAGATCAAAGCTGATAATAAGACCTTTTCGCAGGTTAATAGTCAATCCAAAGTCATAATTGCACAGAAAGTAACCACAAAACTCGATAAGCCTTGCATTTTTCAAACAGAGGAGGTTTTACTTTAATCTAACCCAACACATTAAAAAAAAGCACGTCAAATTCTCAAAGAATGATTTTTCTTACAGTTTTTAATCCCAGTATGCTCCTAGAGGTCGGGTCATCCCACACGAGAAGCAGCACGCGAACACCCTCTTGAGACTTCACCTTCAAAAGCTCCCCCAACCTACTTTCCCCCATGCTCGGGTCATCTCTCACCAGCTGAACCAAATGGTAAACTGACCAACCCGTGATATAGACCAATTTTCGAGCCTCACTAATCGCATCGTAAATATCACGCCAGCATTTTCCATGCTGATAGGTTTGCCCATTAGCTAACCACAAATTTGGAAGCAAACCATCGTAAATATGCGCATCTTGATACAGTGTGACTTTTCCCCCTTTCCGCATAGGAAAGTAAGTGCTGGGCACTCCCCCCGACCCACCGTGATAGAGATTAACACTATTCATCGGTATGTACTGAATCGAGAGGCTCAAAACGGCCCCTTTATTGCACGGTTTGCCATTCGGGCCAAGAATCGGGTACGTGCCCTCGATTTTCGAGCCGGTAATAATCTGCTCGACCGGGATTCCAACGGCCCCCATGATCTGGGACCCCACGACGTCACTGTCCTTGACCACGAAATGAACCTCCGAGCCATAATGAGCGACCGGGACATGAAAGTGCTGGGCCCAAACGGGGTTTTCACTGTTGCTGATCACAAAGGTCCGGCCCAAAACGGCGTTCGACACGGAAATCGTGACGTAAGGATCGCTCGTGACCTTGCTTCCAGGCGTGATCCGTTCCGTTTTGCTGAAGAGCTTACCAGGAAGCCTCCCAAACATCTCGCCCAAGTTCTTGTGGAATAAATCCATGTTGGGGAGGTTTTTGGCCTCCTTGACCCAGATGTCTAAATTGCCGTGCAGCAGTAGAACTTGGAGCGAGCCTGCCGAGGTCTTGATGGGCACAAACTGAACGCCTTGCCCGTGCTGGGACCCACCGGAGATTGAATCGGAGTAAGATAAGTGGGCCATGCTTGTGATTTTCAGCACTAAATGGGATTTAAGAGGAAAACAAAAAACAAGATGAGCAAAGAGATTGCACAGATAAAAGTCGTAAATGGCATCAAGTTTCAGTCTTTTCATAAGCCTGTGGTAATTATAAACAGTAAACACAATGAATCTCATCTGATGACTAGAAACTGAACAACAGAAAAAGATGGGAACAATACAATATATGTTGGTTTTGCTCAGAATGTAAGAGACTTGAACAAGTTACAGAGACTTACGGTGAACAAACAATACCAGATCAAGAAATCCAAAGCAGTGCCTTTCAGCAGCCAAACCAAACAACCACAGAAGTCCACTGTAAATCTTGAACAAGAGTTCAAATGAAAAATAAACAACCAGAACTGCCCAATCCCAGCTAAGTAAGAATCTAAAACAAGAAACAAAACTTATCCCTTGTTTCCCAGAGTAAATAAAGATATGGGCCTGCAAAACGTGTAGCCAAGCATAGCAAAGACTTCGAATTTTCAGAATAAAAGAAGCCAAAAAAAAAAAAAAAAAAAAAAAAAAAAAAAAAAAAAAAAACAAAAAATTGGGATTTTGATGTATTAAATAGAGATGGGGTTGACTTGGTAAAAAAGCAGAAAAATAATAAAGGAACGGGCAAATTGCATTGGAGTTTTCCAAGCCAGCAAGTTGGTGTGGGGAATATTCAACAAGAAACGGCACCAATAGGGAACATACATTGAGCTCACAAAAGACCAATCAAAAAGTTCTCTTCTTTTAGGCATTTCATCAAATGGGTCCATGTAAAAAAACAGAAATTTCCTCGAAGATAGTACAGAAACATAAAAATATTGAGCACTTGTTGTAAATTTGTGATGATAATGAAGAAACTCAAAGCCATTTTGGCGGTGAAAAACACCATTTTCGATTAATTGGAAAAACTCAATACATCACTATCAGTCTCACGTATATATACACACGTATGCATGCATATACCAGCTAAGAGAAGAACGAAACGACGTCGTGTAGGCTAAGGATAAAACGACGTCGTGAGCACTTAAAGCTAAACAAAGAGGAAAAAGAAAACGGAGGTACGATTATTACAAAGGAAACACGACTTAAAACCAAAAACATAAAACTGCTAGTTCTTGTAGTATCTTCATGCAATTGGATCACCTATTCCAACAGCCCCCCTCAAGGTGGGCGTGGGGTGACGCAGACCATGCCCAACTTGACCAGCAACCTCTGAAACTGTGTCCCCGTAAGCAACTTTGTAAAGATGTCAGCACACTGCAGCTTGGAGGGAACAAACATAGGAGCAACAAAGCCGGTTTTGAACTTGTCTCTAACAAAATGGCAATCTATCTCCAAATGCTTAGTTCTTTCATGAAAGACCGGGTTGGCACTGATGTGAAGGGCAGCTTTGTTGTCACACCACAGAGGTATAGGATAAGTGAGATTAAGGTGGAAGTCTTGAGCAACATAACTGATCCAAAGCAACTCAGCCACCAATGAACTCATAGCTCTGTATTCTGCTTCTGCCGAGGAACGAGATACCGTGTGTTGTTTCTTACTCTTCCAAGAAATTAATGCACCTCCCATAAACACACAATATCCAGTTATAGATCTTCTTGTGTCCTTACATGCAGCCCAGACTGCATCACATAAAGCATTGAGCTCATTTGACTGGCCTGCTGGAAAATGAAGTCCTAAATCCGGAGTTCCTTTCAAATATCTCAAGATGTGTAGAGCAGCATCCCAGTGAGTGTTGAGAGGATTGGTTACAAACTGACTCAGTTGTTGCACAGCATAAGTGACATCAGGCCGAGTCATATTAAGGTACAACAAACGGCCTATGAGCCTTTTGTATTTCTCAGGTTCATGAAGAGGCAGTCCATCATCCATAGTCAATTTTAATCCATGTGGAAGTGGTGTTGAAGCACTTTTACTCTCCAACAGACCGGCATCACCTAATAAGTCTAAGATATATTTCCTCTGACTGAGAAGTATACCACTTGTGCTCTTGGTTATTTCAACACCCAGAAAGAACTTTGCCAATCCCAAGTCTTTGATAGTAAAAGCTCCATCTAAAAATTGTTTTACCTCTCTGATCATGTGGTTGCTAGAACTTGTAAGTAACACATCATCCACATAGACCAAGATAGCCAAAAAATCTGTGCCCCTTTTCATAGTAAACAGACAATGGTCATATTTGGATTGTATAAGGCCAAAACTGGAAAGCTTGTCACACAGCTCATTATTCCATTCTCTAGATGCTTGTTTGAGCCCATACAAACTCCTCACTAGCTTGCAGACTTGTCCTTCTTTTGCTTTAAAATATCCCAGTGGTGGCCTCATGTATACCTCTTCAGATAAATGTCCATGCAAGAAGGCATTATTTACATCTAATTGATGTAGCTCCCAATTCTGTTGTACAGCCAAAGCAATGAACATTCTCACTGTTACTAACTTTGCAACTGGAGAGAAGATGTCAAAATAATCCACTCCTTGAACCTGGTTGTACCCCTTTGCTACAAGTCTTGCTTTGAATCTCTCAATTGAGCCATCAGCTTTCCTTTTTATCTTAAACACCCATTTAGAGCCTATTGCCTTCTTTCCAGCTGGGAGATCTGTGATTTCCCATGTATGGTTGTTTTCAAGTGCTTCCAACTCCTTCTGCATTGCCTCTCTCCAGGCATGATGTTTGATTGCTTCACCATAGTGGGTTGGCTCCTTGCTCATATCTATCTTACTCATGAAGGCTGTAAACTCTTGATACTGAGGTATCACAAGTTGACCAACATTATTGCAGATGTAGTCTTGTTGCCACACTGGTGGCTGTTTGTGCCTCATGCTCCTCCTCAGTCTCCCTGCTTCATGAAATGTTCTCACATCATCATTTTCAACATCATCATGTGGGACAATTCTCTGCTCATCTTCATCTTCTACTGGGAGTGGTATAGTAAACTTCTTGTTCTCAAGTGCAGCTGTAAAAGGGAATTCTTCATCAAAGAAAGTGACATCCCTCCCAACAAATATCTCTCCTGTATTCATATCATACAATCTATACCCTTTCTTTCCTGCAATGTGTCCAAGAAAGGCACATTTTATGCCTCTTCTATCAAACTTGGACTTGTGAGGCACTGTGTTTGCTGCATAGCATAAGCATCCAAATGGTTTGACCATTGCATAGTTAGCTTTCTTATTATTTAGCCTCTCAAAAGGTGTATCCCAATCTATAACTGAGCTAGGGACTCTGTTGATTATATATGCAGCAGTAAGTATAGCAAAGGGCCAGAACTTTATGGGCATACCTGCTTGAAAAATGAGTGCTCTTCCAACTTCCAGCAAATGTCTGTGTTTCCTCTCAACAACACCGTTTTGTTGTGGGGTGTACACACATGTAGTTTCATGTAATATTCCTTTTTCTTTAAGAAAATTCTGCAGGTCAGTCCCCAGAAATTCTCTCCCATTATCAGTTCTTACCCTCTTAACTTCAACTCCATATTGTGTCTTTGCCATTGCTACAAAAGACTGTAATAATTTCTTTGTCTCTGATTTATGTCCCATTAGAAACACCCAAGTCCCTCTGCTGAAATCATCCACTATTGTAAGAAAGTATGGTGTAGCAATTAAACTTTCATCCTTACAAGGCCCCCATATGTCTATGTGTAAAAGCTCAAAACACTGACTTGTTTGGATGCAGCTATTTCCAAAAGGTTGCCTGTGCTGTTTAGCCTTTTGACACACCTCACATTTTTGCAGCACACTCTCATCATTCTTGTTGTAGTTTCCCTTCAAAAAATACAGATGTTTCAGTGCTGAGAAAGAAGCATGACCCAAGCTTCTGTGCCAAGACTCCATGCTAACATTACAGACTTCTTTTCCCTCAAATCTGTTTTCCCAAACATATAAGTTTCCCACCAATTTTCCATATCCCAACACCCTCTCATTTAGTTGATCCTGCAAGTAGCAATGATATCCAGTAAAAGTCCAAGTCAGGTTGCTATTTTCACAAAGTTGCATGACTGACATCAGATTATATTTGAAAGATGGCATGTAGAGCACATCTTGCAGCATTATCTCATTATTGATAAACACATCTCCTCCACTATCAACTGTTTTGAGTGTCCCATCAGGCAAACATATGCTGACTGGATTTTTCAGCTTCACTAAGTTCTTTATCATTCTTTCATTAATGCAGATGTGCCTACTTGCACCAGTGTCTATGATCCACTGGTCATTGTGTACTCCTTTAGTTGCAGATAGGGCAAAATGAACTCCCTCTTCCTCTTCATCAGGTGCATAGTTGGCAAATTGAGCATAGTCCATCCTCTGACTTCCACTTTCTTTTCCCTTTATGTATTCAGTCAACTCATTCAACTGTCTTATCACTGAGGCTAGATCATTTCCCTTGCCATCCTCCTTTATCAATCCCTTTTGTGAACAATGCTCTTCATTCTTATATACCTCAGCATTATTAGCATATGCCTTTCCATTCTGCTCCTTATACTCCTTATACCATTCTGGAATACCATGAATCTTAAAGCAAGTGGAGATAGTATGTCCATTCATGCCACACTTGTCACAGTGGAGCTTAGCTTTCTCTTCCTTACTCATCCTGAAGCTTCCTCTACCCTTTCCATTGTTCCATTGATTTCCTGCATTTCCAGATCTCCCTCCAAAGTTACCTCTTCCTTGTCCTCTTCCATTTCCACCTGATCTAACCATCATAGCCCAGTTTCTCCATAGAAATTTTGTACATTTCTTTGCCTTTTAGCACTTAGGACCATGGAGTATGCTTTATTCACAGTAGGCAAAGGTTCCATCAACATTATCTGATTCTTCAAATTGTCATATCCATCATGCAGCCCCATAAGGAACTGTATGAGCCTTGTTTCTAACTCATACTGAGCCACTAACTTTCCTTTCTCACAGTTGCAGCTCTGCACAGGCACTACACAGGCTAACTCATCCCAAAGTTTCTTAAGTTTTCCAAAGTATTCCATCACAATATTATTTCCTTGAGTTAAGCTAGTTATCTCTCTCTGCAATTTGTATTTCAAGGGACCATTGTTTTCCCCAAATCTCTGTCCTATTTCCTCCCACAAATCCTTCGAAGTTTCAGCACATATAAAAGTTTCAGCAATTTCCTTACTCAACGAGTTCAAAATCCAGGATAAGACCATCCAATCGACTTTTCTCCAATCAGCAAACGATTCATCATTTTCATTAGGTTTTGGAATTTCTCCAGTAACAAATCCGAGCTTATTCTTAGCTCCTAATGCGATAATCATAGATTTTCTCCAAGGCAGAAAATTATTCCCAGTCAATTGATGTGATACAAGCATCATACCCGGATTATCTGAGCCATGTAACATGAGTGGATCCTTCGACCCTGAATCTGTGTTCGTCACCAATGCCGGCCATGGATTTCTTCTTCTCTGCTCCATTTTCGATTTTGAGCTATCACCAGCTCGATCGCTTCAGAATTCTTCTCTCGAGCTTCGAAAAACGATTTTGCACAGCAGATTCCCAGAGATTAGTGCTCTGGTACCATGAAGAAACTCAAAGCCATTTTGGCGGTGAAAAACACCATTTTTGATTAATTGGAAAAACTCAATACATCACTATCAGTCTCACGTATATATACACACGTATGCATGCATATACCAGCTAAGAGAAGAACGAAACGACGTCGTGTAGGCTAAGGATAAAACGACGTCGTGAGCACTTAAAGCTAAACAAAGAGGAAAAAGAAAACGGAGGTACGATTATTACAAAGGAAACACGACTTAAAACCAAAAACATAAAACTGCTAGTTCTTGTAGTATCTTCATGCAATTGGATCACCTATTCCAACAGATAATAAAAGGGCAGGAGAAAATTTGCAACTTTTGCCGGCGGCCGGCCGTCGGAGACTGAAAATGGTGGAAAGGTCAAAGGATAGTGTGTGCCGGCAAAGAGATTTTAACTTTCAAATGGGACGCTGTTAATTTTTTTTTTTTTTTTTATCCACAGGGAACCGACTAATTCGGAATCGAGCCGGATAGGACCACAAGGGCGGCAAAGCTCTCCCTCAAGAGTTTTAACACTGCTACATTCTCAGGGCTCGAACTCGAGACCACTGGTTAAGCTGGAAGAGACTCAAATTAAAACCTTCTCATCCAAGCGAGCGCTATTGGGTCTGTTAATTTTTAATTACAGGGAAATGAGATTTGCAGAGGCTGGCAAAGGATAACGAGTTTTCAACTTTGAAATCATAATTTGGGATGTTGACTATATGATTCTTGATCCTGTGACCGGGTCAACGATTTGAGAAGAACTGTTCAAATGTACATAAACTAGTATGTAACCCGTGCGATGCACGGACTGTATTTACTTTGAAGAATATTAAAAATTAAAATGCATTAATAAATAAAAGAGTGATAATTCGTAGGAAAATTATCAAACCATAAAATGTTTCTCATGCAAAAAATATATTATTTAAATTTTCTTGTACACAACATTATTTGTTTAATAACTTAGCAACTCGTCGTCCCCACAAACTAATATTTTTCTACACTTTTCTATTATTTACAGGCGAAACAAACAACATAATTGTCCGTGACTAAAAATCAATTTCTTTAACAACATGTCAACGTACAATAAATGTTAACCTTGACTCTTCTTGATCTATTACTTAACATGCCAACGTATAATAAATGTTGACCTTGACGGAACTCCATCTGTCACCAATCTGATGCTAATCCAAATATTCAGTTGGAATGAATTTTCCATTGGTATTTTCGTTGGAATTTGACGATTCCAACGGTGGATTTTTCAACGGGGTAGAAATAAAAATTTCAACGAAATTTGCATATTCAAACGGAAATTCCTACGGTAAAAAACCATTGAAAATATAGCATTTGAAAACATCAAATTTCTAAGATTGACACTCACTCTTATTTATCGTAATAATCTAAATAACTTAATCTTTGAAATGTAGTGATCGTGTGTTAATTTTTAATTTCGTGATTGATGGACTCTTTTATTAATGAGTTGGTTTGAATCAATATATAACAAATTTTGTTGTCAATCGTTATTAGAGTTTTTAAATTAATTTGTGTAAATGCATAAATAAAAAGAGACCTAAACTATGAAAATTTTTCCATCTTTTGAAATCAAATAAATGACAAACACTATCTTTTAAAATAAATAATGATAATGATTATAACATTGTATTATCAAAACCGATAAGGTATATAAAATTCATTTTTCTTTTCATATCGATAATGAAGAAAAAAGTCTAATTGGTGAAAAGATGATATATACAAATCATGATTTTAGAAATCTGATATATACAAATCTTAGCATGCGGTTTCAAATAATTTAATAATGGCCCCGTTTGGAAGATAGCGGATTGAGGATAAATTAGCGGATTGGACTTA